GTTCTGATGATCGGTGAATGTGTATGCGAGATGACTGACGAAAGTGTCTTGTAAGACCGATCGATAATCTGTGTAAGTGATCAAAAGTTGAAATTTTAATTTTCGTCAATTCACAACTCATTGTTCTTGATTGATTCAAACCGTAATCCCAAAACATCTCATTCTAGACGTCCTCTTCTTTTTTCTAGATACATACAATTCATATGCCAATGCGTGCAAGTCTGGTGGAAATGGAGATGGAATTTTTACTTTTTCCTGGCCGCGAGATTGGATACCGTAAGTACACAATTGAGCACGTATTAAAGTTGACTTCTAAATAGTCCGGTATGAATATGAAAGGTTGGATAAACGGGTGACAAACAAAAGTGAGTCCAGATTCGGTAGCCGGTTCACTAAGAAGCGGGATTGCATTAGGAACGACAGAGATTATATCGCCCGGAGATGCGTGGTGTGCGGGCCTTGGCGTCTTGATAAGAGTAAACAATCAAGAATAAGACAGTTGGATTAGTAGGTTTGCTAGCTAATGCATTCTCCGAAAAGGTAATATTGTATATTCCAAAATCATTGATCAATACCTTCACCCCATTCACAGACACCTTCCCACGTAAAACCATCTGTCTGGCCTGCCAAATACTTGTTGCTAGACACGCTCTGAATACAATGGTATCCAGTCTCCTTTCTAAACTGGCATACGTCAGTACAACGGCAGGAGGATGCTTTTTGTCTTTTTCCTGGCCGGCGGCTACTCTTGTATTACTCATTGGTATTGGGAACAAATAATAAGAAACTGTCTTTCGTTAATTGGTCCTCCATGATATGCGCGTGTTTCTCGTTTTGCGGTCCATTTCTGTTGATAAAGTGTGTGATTCCCTAGGCGAGGCGCTTGCTTGCCACGCGTGGTTATCTATATTTCGACCATGACGTACGGATCAGTTGACGAGCGAAATAAACTTCTTGGGTAACGTTTTTAGCTTAGAGTATGTAAATCTGTCACACAGGTATTATAATTTATCTATAATTCCTTTTTATGGTATAATCTGCATACAGACTCGGCCTATACCAGAATTTTTAATTCAGAAACAATGGAAAGATTTACATGACATCATTGACGATCGATTTTTAGTCATTCTGTTATCTCGAGGCTAAAACCAATCCGAGTAGGTCTACTTGGCTAACCAATTCCTGTTTCTAGTTATGGCAGACATTCTACTATTGTACGCAGACTTGCGATTACATTCATGCGTCTTCACCTATTGATATTGCCTACCTTATGCCATAGAACATTGTCTATCATTCGGTCAAGGAATTTAGAGCGTCTTTATCAGTCAGTTGTCGTTAAACAGGTATTTCGTAAACGTGTCACTCATTGGTTATGATTTAGTGACTCA